GACATGGCGTGAAGGCAGCTATATTTATAAGATTTAAATCAGCTACGTATTATATAGGAGATGATAAAACGGCCTCTTCACTCCAATTGACGCGTTTTCCGTCACCTTTTCACAGGTGAGAGGCAAGCGATTTGGTGTCTTGCTCGCCGGGTAAAAACGGTAGGCTACTAACCTCGCTTCTAAATTAGCTACATGTGTGAAGCATTCCTCTAACGACGATAGGTTAAGCGCAGTGTGAAAAACCTTATTTTCCCTCGCAGATCCTTGCCGGGATTTCTAAACTTCCTAAAATGTCCGGGTTTTGGCTTTGGTTTCCTATTGATGCTCTCTCTGCGGTCCTCATAGGCTACGTTATACATGTATTTGCATTGCTTTCTTTGACCGTTTTCTGTAGATCCCACCTTCTCGGATGCCACGATTGGTCAATTATGCACTATGCCTGCATGCTATTGGTCAAACTACTTTTCAGTTATTCGTTTTAGCAAGTATAAAAACAAAGCCAAAACCGGACATTTTAGGCAATTTAGAAATCCTGGCCAGGACATGTCTAGGAAAAAAGGACGTATAGTCATTCTATGAAATAAATACATTTTTACTGTAATGTTGAGTGGGATTTGTCAGACTTTATGCTTGATTTCTTGTTGATGCTGTTTCTGAAGCTCTGTCCTGCCATGAAGTAGAGGATGGGGTCGATGCAGCTGTTGAGACTGACCAGAGTTTGCATGACTTTGTAGATGTTGTTGGAGAGTCGTATTATGTCGCAGTCGTGTTTGTCCAGGTAACGGAAGGTGTAGTATATACTGCGGTTCACATGGAAAGGCAAGAAGCACAACATGAAAGCCAGAAGCACAATAATGATCATCTTCACCGACTTCTTTTTTGAGTGCTGTGACATTGGTTCTCTGAGATCGCCGGGATCAAGAAGTTTCTTCACCATCAGGCCGTTGCAGACCAGCACCACTCCAAACGGTATGACAAAAAGCAGAAACATCACCACCGAGCTGTAGACCAGAAAGTCATTGAAGAGCTCCTTGATGGTGGTGTCATGACAGATCTTACCATCACCATTAAGTCTCAACCTGGAGAAATGAAGAATCGGGGCCTGTAAGATGAGAATGATCACCCATATTCCCACAGAAACCAAA